GATATAGATAGATATAGATATAGATAGATATAGATATAGATAGATATAGATAGATATAGATATAGATAGATATAGATATGGATAGATATAGATAGATACAGATATAGATAGATATAGATAGATATAGATATAGATAGATATAGATATAGATAGATATAGATAGATATAGATATAGATATAGATAGATATAGATATAGATAGATACAGATATAGATATAGATATAGATATAGATAGATATAGATAGATATAGATATAGATATAGATAGATATAGATAAATATAGATATAGATATAGATAGATATAGATATAGATAGATATAGATAGATATAGATATAGATAGATATAGATAGATATAGATATAGATATAGATAAATATAGATATAGATAGATATAGATAGATATAGATATAGATAGATATAGATATAGATATAGATAGATATAGATATAGATATAGATAGATATAGATATAGATAGATACAGATATAGATAGATATAGATATAGATATAGATAGATATAGATATAGATATAGATGTTAATATTACAATATGCAGATGGAAGTTACATTAATATTAATATTATAATATAATATAATTTAATAGTAATATATTATAAGAGATATTAAACATTTAATCTCACGGCACCAGTTATATTAATATTATTTTATAATGTATAATAGAAAATAATAAAATATGATAAAAAATAATAAAAATTAATAAAAAATAATAGAATACAATATTAAATAATATTAATATTGCACCAGAATATGTAATGGTTATCTATAATGGTTATGTCAACACTATAACATTTATGTTTAGTTATATATAGATATATATAACATTATTATAACATTATTATAACATTAACATTACTATATATCATAAATATATCATGACATAACCATTATATTTGTCAATAATATGTCAGTATCATGACATAATCATTATATTTATCAATATGTCAATATCATGACATAACCCTTATATATGACAATAATATGTCAGTATCATGACATAACCATTATATATGACAATAATATGTCAATATCATGACATAACCATTACATATGACAATAATATGTCAGTATCATATCATAACCATTATATTTTTCAATATCATAAAGTTATAATGCCGACAATTAATGTCATAATATTGACACAGTTAATTAGTTAATTAGTTCATTAGAAGCCCTGTGGCTCTTAGGTAATTGGTAAATCATGGCTCCCAGTTAATTAATATATTACTATATCTTTATTAACATACGTCATTAATAACAATGACGCTTCCCTTGGCCAATATCTTCTCGTAAATTCCCTCTATATTACGCTACGTCAATCTATACTAATATTGATAAAATGAATATAATATATATAATATCTATAATAATCATGAGCAATATATAATTACTGATATTCTAATGATGTAGAAAATGTCACCAGAAGAAGGCCAAGTTTATATATATATATATATATATATATATATATATATATATATATATATATATATATATATATATATATATATATATATATCTTTTTTTCTCTCTCTTTCTTTTTCTTTTTCTCTCTTTCTCTTTTTCTTTTTCTCTCTCTCTTTTTCTTTTTCTCTCTCTCTTTCTTTCTTTTTCTTTTTCTTTCTTTCTCTTTCTCTCTCTCTCTCTTTCTTTCTTTATCTTTTTCTTTCTTTCTCTTTCTCTCTGTCTCTCTTTCTTTCTTTTCATTTCTTTTTCTTTCTCACTTTCTCTTTCTTTCTCTCACTTTCTTTCTTTTTATTTCTTTTTGTTTTTTTCTTTCTCTCTCTTTCTTTTTTTCTTTTTCTTTTTCATTTCTTTCTCTTTCTCTCTCTCTCTTTCTTTCTCTTTCTCTCTCTCTCTTTCTTTCTCTTTCTTTCTTTTTCTTCCTTTTTCTTTCTCTCTCTCTCTCTCTCTTTCTTTCTGTTTCTTTCTCTCTCTGTCTCTCTCTCTGTCTTTCTTTTTCTCTCTTTCTTTTCTTTCTTTCTTTTTTCTCTCTCTCTCTTTCTCTCTTTCTTTTTCTTTCTCTCTCTTTCTCCTTCTCCTCCTTAGAAGGCCACGGATAGCGCTACGTTTGGCGCTCCGGCAAAGGCCATCAACCTCTCGAAGATAACTGGGCATAAAGTACATTATAAGTACATTATATAAGTACATTATAACTAAGTACTTATATTAAGTACATTAATTACTTATAAAACACACAAACACACTCAATTATAAGTAATAAAACGACATTTCTACAAAAGAAAAGAAAAAGTACAATAAAACTCTATGAATGAAAATAAAAAAGCGATATTCTACAAAACGCAATAAAACATCTTTTTTTTTTATTTATTTATTTATTATTTTTAGTTTCTCTTGATGAAAATAAAGGCGATATTCTCTAATAAATGAAAAAAAATAAATGGCGTCGTTTTACCTCAGGGAAGGAAAATCCTCTTCCTTCAACGCCTATGACAACGGCGCGTGCGTGTGTGTGTACGTGTGTGTG